ATTTTAATGTCGTCAGATATTCTGTCGAAAAATTCCGACGGAATAAAAATCCGTAGGAATATAAGGTTTTCCAACGGAATATTCCGTCGGAAATTTTAATTTCCGACAGAATTATAATCCGTAGGAAGTTTCCGACAGAGAATTCCGTCAGAAATTTTAATTTCCGGTGGAATTAAAATCCATAGGAATATTCCGACGGAATATTCCATCGGAGATGTAATTTTCCGACGGAATTTAAGGAATATAAAATAACCAAACCCTTAGCTCTCCTCTCATTTCTCTTTCTCTCTCTTTCTTTTCTCGGTTCTTTTCTCTCTCCTCTCCTCTCCTCCGCCTCTCTTCTCTTTCTCTCTCCTCTGCTCTTTCCTCGTCTCTTCCTCTCTGACCTCCTCTTTCCTCTTCTCCTTCCTTCTCCTTCTTTGTCCTCTTTCCCCTTCTCCTTCCTTCTCCTCTTCTCCTTCCTTCTCCTTCTTCGTCCTTTCCTCTTCTCCTTCCTTCTCCTTCTTCGTCCTCTTTCCTCGTTCTTCTCCTTCTCCTTCTTCATCCTCTTTCCTCTTCTCCTTCTTCTTCCTCTTCAACCACCGCACCAACACCAACCACCAACGACACCAGCAGCACCGACAACCAACAACCACCACTGCAACAACACCACCGTGCAAGCATCTCAAGGTTTCCACAACACCACTACCGCGAAACAACGGCCACCATCGCAACAACACCAAGGTTTTTTTGTAGATCTAGTTTTAATTAAGGTTAAATTATAGATCTTGTTTTGTTTTTGAACATTTATGATTATAGTTAATCATGTTTGCAATTGAAATTGTAGTTTATAAATTTATTAGATCTTTGTAATGATAATAGTGAATTTCGTTTTTTTTTTAATTATTATTGAAATTCAGATCAAATATTGCATGTTTTAGATCTTGTTTTTGTGGGAATTTTTGTTTCGGATAATTTTACCTTTTTTTCAATTTGGTATTTTCTATTTTCGTTTTTCTAGGTGGGTGGGTTAGGGGGTTAGTTAGGTGGAGTGGTGGTGGCTCGACAGGGTGGGGGTCTGGGTGGGTGGGTGGGTGGGTTGTGGGAGGTTTGGACAGGGTGGGTGGGGTGGTGGAGGTTTGGACAGGGTGGGGGTGGGGATTGTTTGGACAGGGTGGGTGGGGAAGTGGGGGTTTGGACAGGTGGGGTGGGGCTGGATTTTTTTTTAATTTTTTTTATTGATTATTCCGTCGGAAAATTCTCCAACTCCGACGGAAATTTTCGTCGGAAAATTGCGACGGAATTTCAATTTAAGTCAAAAACAGCGCCGAGAGAATTATATCCGTCGGAAATTCCGTTGGAAACTAGTCTTCCGATGGAATTCCGTCGGAAAAGGTCGAATTTTCTACGAATTGTTTTGCGACAGATTGATTCCGACAGAATTCCGTCGGAAAACCGTTTTCCAACGAATTTATCGATGTTTCCGACGGATTTTTTCCGTCGAAATCAAGCTGTTTTCTTGTAGTGAAAATAGTGTGCACCACAAGTAGAAGGTGTCTTATATGACCCCCACAAGTCACAATGTATCAATTCAAAATACGACTACCTCTACTATCACTATCAGGAAAACTATCCCTTGATTGTTTAGCTTGCGGACAAACAACACAAGCTTTATTCAATGATTTAGTACTAGAACTACCACTAACAGCAGGCACTAACTTGACAATATTTTTCGACGGATGTCCCAAACGACGATGCCACAACTCAAATGTAGATACTAGGTCTGCCACCGCACATACTTTAGGAATACGCCGGAAGTAGTATAGCCCATCTATCCGTTCACCGGCTCCAATCAGGTTCCCCGAGAGTTGGTCCTGTATAGCACACAAAGAGTCAGTGAATTGGACCAAACAATGTGAATCATCAATCATTTTAGACACCGATATTAAATTGCAATTTAATTTGGGGACAACCAAAACATTCTCAAGAATTAGTCCATCCGCCAAATATACTCGCCCCTCCTCCAAAGCCATAGCATGGGCACCATCTGGGAGTCCCATGGGGCAAGGAGAAATAGAATGTATGTCCATCAAACAAGAGTTGTCACCAATGACGTGATGAGAGGCTCCGGTATCCACTATCCAAGACAAAGAAATAGGCTCCCCAGTCATCTTATCTTATTGTTGTTTATTAACCATATTTAATAGCATTCGGACATGTTCCGGTTGAAGCTCGGATAAAGCCGCAAGAGTATCATGAGGGGGCATAGTAGCACCACTAGCAGGGCTGCTCACGGCATGAGCCCTTGCCTGGGGTCTGCTGGAATTAGTAGGGGCAACAGTAGGAGAAGGCGAAGCAGAAGAAGCACCTCCTATAGAGGAAGCAGTAGCAACGACCGTAGAAGGCCTAGAGCTAGAGGATGCATCACCTCCTTTCTTGCCGTATTTCTTAAGCCACCACGAAGGGTAGCCATGTAGTATAAAACATCCCGTAGTGTCATGCCTCGAGCGTTTACAGTGAGAACAAAACAGCTTCGTTTTATCAACCCGAGAAGATTGAAACTCGCGTTGATTGGAAGGAGGAAGAGCAAAGACATGGGCATCCTCCTTAGCCACAAGAGTCTTGGCTTGAGCTATACTCCGAGAGCGCTCCTCTTGGAGGAGAGCCTGATAAGCACGGTCTAGGGTCGCCGGAGGTTGCTGGGACAGGAGGTTCATTCGAACCATGGCATATTTGCCATCATCAATACCAACCAGGAATTGATGCAAGATTTCCTCATCCCTGTCCTTCGCATACTTCGCTGCGATATCACAGGAACACACACCACACTCACATCCATGAGGTGGTTTGAGGCCCACAAGATCATCGAAAAAACTCATCAATTGAGTATAATACTCCTCGACAATCATGGTGGGGAGTTGCTTGCAATTGGTGATGGAAGCCCTCAATTGTTGCAATCGAAGACCGCTAGCCTCACAATACCGTTTCTCAAGATACTCCCACAATCGCTTGGCTTCATCGAAATAGAGAATTGAAGCAGCAATCTTCGGCTCGATCGTCCTCAAAATCCAAGAAACCAACATAGAGTTTACAGTATCCCAATCGAGCAGCCGCAGTTGTTCAGTCGGTTTGGAGATGGTTCCATCAACAAACCCAAACTTGCGCCTCGATTTCAAAGACAAAGAAATAGCCCTAGACCAAGATAGATAATTATCACCCTTCAAGATTACATGAGTATTCAAGTTACCGGGTTGATCACCGGAACCAAGATAGAAAGGAGATGAAAGATCGATTTTGTCGTCGTCCACCATTGTTAAGGAAGCAGAGATTAGAGAATAGAGAAGAAGAGGAAAAAAAAGTTAGAGTATTTATGGTTTAGAATTGTCGTGGCTCCGATACCATGTCAATAATAAAGATAATATAGAGAATAGAAAGAATAGAGTTGTTACTTTGTATTAGAATATGCACAAGAGTATATATACAACCTAAGAGATTAGGATTATGGCCGTATATATTGGCCGGTCCGTAACCTATACATTACATACGGGCTTTACAATATTAACAATCAATTTTAAATCTGAATTTTTGACATACTTGTAACAATTACTCTATGTAATGTTTAATTCCTGAATAATTAATGACCCATCCATCCCAAATTTAAATGTCTGGTTTGTAATTTTCACGGATTTTAATGCAAATGGATAAAATAATTATGCAATGATTGGAATTGTTTGAAGCACACATGTGCAAAAATAATGTACGTTTTCTAATTTTGCTTTTACAAAGAAATGCAAGGTTGGTTGCTTCAAAAAAAAAACATAATAATGCAAGGTTGGGCAATCCATGCCCAGCATTATGAACCAATGAGAAAGCATGAAACATTTTTTTATTAACCAATAGGAGGCAAGTACACGGATTACAAATAACCACGAAATTAAAAACTAATTAATTACTAATCTTCCTTAAAAATTATTTTATAAAAAAATTATATTAAAAATAAAAAAATATTATTTTATAAAATAAATTTGTATCTTAAAAAAAAAATAATTCGTCTGTGAATTTTATTTGAAACAAATTTTTTTTATGAATGAATCAAAAGAAACCTAATTAGTTACAAAACTCCCTAAAAAATATATTTATGTGCCCCATAATTTAGCTGCATTTAAATTTCTAATTTCAGTAGTTACCTCTGTTGAAAGAGTTTTCTCGAAACAATTTATGGCGGAGAATTCAGAAAAAGATTCAAGCAATCAATGTGATTGGTATGAGCGTATAGAAAAGTTAGAAGAGATAGTTTCATCATTAATTTCAACATTTGATAAATTTGTAGAGCAGTATCGGAGGTTGCATTACAATGAATCATGCTTCTATGACACCACCGGGTGAGTTAGGAGCGATTGGGGTAAACAATACAACTCATAATATGAAACATGTGCAAAAAGTTGGATCGCCATAAAAAAAAAGAAAAAAAAAACACTCGAACAACAAATACTTTGCACAAAAATGCTGATAGTTTGTGACCGATGACTAGGGGTGAAAGTTCGGTATTCGGTTTGGATTATACCCCAAACCGAATCCAAACCGAATTATTTCGGTTTCTGATTCTTGGAACCGAATCCAAACCGAATTTGGATTCAATCCAATCCAATCCAAACCGAAATAATTCGGTTTTGAAAAATGGATCCAATCCAAACCGAATTTTTTTGGGCTGTTGATTTGGGCCTTAAAATTGGGCTTTTAATCGGAAGTTTGTTTTGGCCCTTTTGTAGGCCTAAATTGGTGAATTACAATGGTTGGTCTTTAAGCCAAAAATTTGCCAAATTAAGGGAAAATCATAATAAAAAAATTTGTCCAGCCACTAGAATAAAATTACAAACACGATAAAAGTCTTAAAATGGAATAACAGTCTACAATGAGTCTACATGCAGCTAAAACCATAATAACATCAACTAAAATCAATATGGTAGATTGACAGCAGCTAGAATCAACATGGCAGGCAGCAACTTCTTCATTTCTTCAACATGGGTAATTCCCCGGTTTCGGTTTTGGTCATGGCTAACAATGAGCTAGGAGGGTGCATTCCCTCTAGCATTGGTGACATGGGGTACACCTTAAATGAGATTATAATGTCCAACGATAATCTCTCAGGATGTTTACCCGAAGAAATCGGTAACCTCAAACACGTAACGGTATTCGATGTGAGCTACAACAATTTATCTGGGTCACTGCCACTAACCATTAATGGAATGGCTAGTGTGGAACAATTAGATGTGGGTTACAATCAATTTACTGGTGTTATCCCAGAAGCTATTTGCTTGCTTCCAAACCTCCAAAACTTCACATACTCCCACAATTACTTCACTGGCGATGCACCCTCGTGTTCCGTCTCGGCCGGGGCCGGTAAGGTTATCGATGGATCTCAAAATTGTATCATTGGTGAGGCGAATCAAAGGTCCGCTGAGGAGTGTGCCTCACCATTGGCTACACCCGTTGATTGTTACTCATTTGGTTGTATTAAGAAGCCTGTGTATACGCCTTCGCCATCATATACTCCTACCTATTCACCACCACCTTACACTCCAACTTACTCACCATCGCCGTCTTACACTCCAACTTACTCACCATCGCCGTCATACACACCACCTCCAACTTCTTTCGGTGGAGCATCGTCAGGGTCATACTCACCGTCTCCGTCGTACACACCATCACCAGGGTACAACACACCGTCAACTCCAAGCTATAATACTCCTTCCCCATCATACCAACCACCAACACCACCAACCTACACTCCTTCACCAGATTACTACTACTCCTCACCTCCACCACCGTCAACACCGTCTTACAACACTCCCAATTATCCACCTTCATCATTACCCCCACCACCACCACCCGCCTCAGGGTACACTCCTTCCCCTGCATACTCAACACCCCCTCCAGTAGGATACAATAGTCCATCGTATTCACCATCGCCATCAAACACACCACCATTAACCCCTACATATTCACCATCGCCGTCTTACAGTCCCCCATCCACGACCCTTCATATATCTAACAATAAAAAAAATAAACATGTTACATAATATATATAAATAAATCAAAGGAAATCAATATAATCAAACAAACAAAACATCAATGTCGCCAATTTAAACATTATAGCATATCAATGTCATCATATTAGCCAATTTCGAACAGATCGAACAACAAATTAACGAATTCAAACAGAACAGAACTATTGAATGAAAACTTGAAAAGAGAAGTGGGAAATGAGTACACATCTAAGAAGAAGAAAAGCAGGAAAAGATAAGTGAAATTAACAGAACGAAAGTGAAATTAATAAGAAGAAGAGAAGCAAAAAAGGAGAATTCTTACCCTTGAGTGACTGAGTGAGAGGAGATAGTGAGGGAACGCGAACACGAGCGGCGCCGCGGCGGTGAACTGGTGGTAATTTTAGGGAGCACAAAACCACGAACACAAGCGGCGGTGAGAAACGAGATCTGCGGGAGCACGAAGCCACGAACACAAGCGAACTGATGGTGATAGACGTTGACCGGATATGTGGTGAGCGGACTGAGGAAGGTGGTGGTCGGAGCTACTGAGGTGGTGAGGGAGAAAATGGGGAAATTTTGGAGGATTAGGGTTTGGTGAGGAATGTGCCGCAGAAGAGGGGAAAAAAAGACTGGGATAAGAGAGGAGTATTTTAGGGCTTTAGTATATATATGTAGGGTAGGAGAAATGGGCTGGGATATTTGGGCTTCATAAATTTCGGTTTGGATTTTCGGTTTTCGGTTTTTGGAAGCCCAAAACCGAATCCAAACCGAAATATTTCGGTTTTGATTTTTTGAAACCGATCCAAACCGAAAACCGAAAAAAAACCGATCCGAATTGCTATTTCGGTTCGGTTTGGATCGGTTTTCGGTTTTTATCCAAATTACTTTCACCCCTACCCTCTTCTGCGGCACATTCCTCACCAAACCCTAATCCTCCAAAATTTCCCCATTTTCTCCCTCACCACCTCAGTAGCTCCGACCACCACCTTCCTCAGTCCGCTCACCACATATCCGGTCAACGTCTATCACCATCAGTTCGCTTGTGTTCGTGGCTTCGTGCTCCCGCAGATCTCGTTTCTCACCGCCGCTTGTGTTCGTGGTTTTGTGCTCCCTAAAATTACCACCAGTTCACCGCCGCGGCGCCGCTCGTGTTCGCGTTCCCTCACTATCTCCTCTCACTCAGTCACTCAAGGGTAAGAATTCTCCTTTTTTGCTTCTCTTCTTCTTATTAATTTCACTTTCGTTCTGTTAATTTCACTTATCTTTTCCTGCTTTTCTTCTTCTTAGATGTGTACTCATTTCCCACTTCTCTTTTCAAGTTTTCATTCAATAGTTCTGTTCTGTTTGAATTCGTTAATTTGTTGTTCGATCTGTTCGAAATTGGCTAATATGATGACATTGATATGCTATAATGTTTAAATTGGCGACATTGATGTTTTGTTTGTTTGATTATATTGATTTCCTTTGATTTATTTATATATATTATGTAACATGTTTATTTTTTTTATTGTTAGATATATGAAGGGGTCGTGGATGGGGGACTGTAAGACGGCGATGGTGAATATGTAGGGGTTAATGGTGGTGTGTTTGATGGCGATGGTGAATACGATGGACTATTGTATCCTACTGGAGGGGGTGTTGAGTATGCAGGGGAAGGAGTGTACCCTGAGGCGGGTGGTGGTGGTGGGGGTAATGATGAAGGTGGATAATTGGGAGTGTTGTAAGACGGTGTTGACGGTGGTGGAGGTGAGGAGTAGTAGTAATCTGGTGAAGGAGTGTAGGTTGGTGGTGTTGGTGGTTGGTATGATGGGGAAGGAGTATTATAGCTTGGAGTTGACGGTGTGTTGTACCCTGGTGATGGTGTGTACGACGGAGACGGTGAGTATGACCCTGACGATGCTCCACCGAAAGAAGTTGGAGGTGGTGTGTATGACGGCGATGGTGAGTAAGTTGGAGTGTAAGACGGCGATGGTGAGTAAGTTGGAGTGTAAGGTGGTGGTGAATAGGTAGGAGTATATGATGGCGAAGGCGTATACACAGGCTTCTTAATACAACCAAATGAGTAACAATCAACGGGTGTAGCCAATGGTGAGGCACACTCCTCAGCGGACCTTTGATTCGCCTCACCAATGATACAATTTTGAGATCCATCGATAACCTTACCGGCCCCGGCCGAGACGGAACACGAGGGTGCATCGCCAGTGAAGTAATTGTGGGAGTATGTGAAGTTTTGGAGGTTTGGAAGCAAGCAAATAGCTTCTGGGATAACACCAGTAAATTGATTGTAACCCACATCTAATTGTTCCACACTAGCCATTCCATTAATGGTTAGTGGCAGTGACCCAGATAAATTGTTGTAGCTCACATCGAATACCGTTACGTGTTTGAGGTTACCGATTTCTTCGGGTAAACATCCTGAGAGATTATCGTTGGACATTATAATCTCATTTAAGGTGTACCCCATGTCACCAATGCTAGAGGGAATGCACCCTCCTAGCTCATTGTTAGCCATGACCAAAACCGAAACCGGGGAATTACCCATGTTGAAGAAATGAAGAAGTTGCTGCCTGCCATGTTGATTCTAGCTGCTGTCAATCTACCATATTGATTTTAGTTGATGTTATTATGGTTTTAGCTGCATGTAGACTCATTGTAGACTGTTATTCCATTTTAAGACTTTTATCGTGTTTGTAATTTTATTCTAGTGGCTGGACAAATTTTTTTATTATGATTTTCCCTTAATTTGGCAAATTTTTGGCTTAAAGACCAACCATTGTAATTCACCAATTTAGGCCTACAAAAGGGCCAAAACAAACTTCCGATTAAAAGCCCAATTTTAAGGCCCAAATCAACAGCCCAAAAAAATTCGGTTTGGATTGGATCCATTTTTCAAAACCGAATTATTTCGGTTTGGATTGGATTGGATTGAATCCAAATTCGGTTTGGATTCGGTTCCAAGAATCAGAAACCGAAATAATTCGGTTTGGATTCGGTTTGGGGTATAATCCAAACCGAATACCGAACTTTCACCCCTAGAAGAGGGGAAAAAAAGACTGGGATAAGAGAGGAGTATTTTAGGGCTTTAGTATATATATGTAGGGTAGGAGAAATGGGCTGGGATATTTGGGCTTCATAAATTTCGGTTTGGATTTTCGGTTTTCGGTTTTTGGAAGCCCAAAACCGAATCCAAACCGAAATATTTCGGTTTTGATTTTTTGAAACCGATCCAAACCGAAAAACCGAAAAAAACCGATCCGAATTGCTATTTCGGTTCGGTTTGGATCGGTTTTCGGTTTTTATCCAAATTACTTTCACCCCTACCGATGACCAAATTAGTATTATGCAAGCGTTCGAACCTCATGGAAGCGGAAGATAGGGTGAGATTAAATTTGATCATGGATCACATTTTTCATCACACATACATGTTTATTAGTAACTGATTTATCATTCTCACAATAATCTATGTAGGGTGATGACTATGAAAATGCTAAGATAGCACATACATTACAAATTCATCAGCAAATATCAACAAATTCAACGAGACATGGAATTGACACAATAGAGATGGTTCGTTTATCAAATTCTACATTGTTTTCATAGTTTTCAAATTTCATGATTCAATATGTCATGTATACTTCGTATCTTGTGTTAATTAATTTAGAAGGAATATTTTGTTGTTCATAAGAATCATATAATGATTCAATACCCTTTATTTGTTTGACAGTTTTTTGATCCATTTTTTGACAGTTAAAATAAAATTTCAAAACTGACGATATATCATCACAGAATGATAGTAGAATTGATCAGTGTTATTCACCTTCGATCATTCATGTTTTTTTTAATTTTTTATTGCATCTATGTGTCTTCATCTTCAATCAATTCCTTTGATCGGTAAAGGAGCCAATTTTTTTTTTTTTTTTTTAGCGAAGTTAGACTACCTAAGTCTTATATTCAATAAAACTTATGGAATGTGAATATCTAAATTGAAAGAGAACTGATTTTCAATATATTCCCTCACAATTCTCTCCACTTGTAAAGTACTCCGTGTAAAAAACAATGGGTTTGGCATGTGTTTACAAGAAATTGATGTTAGACTATAATTTAATTGATGTTTGTAATCTAATTTTGAGAATGATTTTAATCAAATTTTTAATAGAATTAAGATGGTCAATAAAATGCATGGTTGTGATTGGTTGGTTGTCAATAAAATCAATGATAAAGAATGATTTTAATATAGTATCTACAAAATTATTGTAGCTATTGCAAAACTGTTAAAGTTGGATAGTATAATGGGTAAAAATTTAGTGTAGCTTTTGAATAGTCATTACTAATACATTAATCTTCGTGTAGGATATAAAAGTAACAGAAAAGTACAAAAGTTACTTATCTTATTTGACTTCAGAAGAAGCCGAATTTTGTAATCTACTATATTCTTGGAGGAAAAGGCCGTCAGTGACTGTCTACTCGAATATGGAACTTGCAATTCATTTATCCGTGGACGAAGTTTTATTGATGGATTCATTACTGATCAAGTATGTTTATCTATTTTGAAAAGTATTGTTGCAAATAATATAATTAGTATTTCTACTAATATAAAATAAAGTTGTACTTCATTTGTCATGAATTTCCATAATGTTAATACATTTATTTATATTTGTATATATGTGGATTGACAGATAATTGACTTGTATATGCACAATCTTTATTACTTCCTCCGTTCTTTTAATATCGCATCACTTGTCTTTTAGGGAAGTTTCACAAATATTGCAACATTTCTATTTTAGGACAAAAAATATCTATGTTCACACTGCAGATACCCAACATACCCTTACTTTTTCACACTTACTTTTTATTTTATCTCAACATTACATGGACAATTTTGTATTTTTTACGTTTCTCTCTCTTACTTTTCCCACTACCAAATTTTGCCTCCAAAACCCCTATGATGCAATAAAAAAAAGAACGGAGGAAGTATTTGGATGCACTTGATGCCAAAAATAATAATAATTTTTAAATGGACCTGGTTCACACAAATTTATTGTGAACCACTAACATTAGAGATATTATGATTGTTTTATTAATAATAAAAAAAAAGTCACTACATTAAAATAAAGGTTTTATGTTGAAATAAAAGCGATTGTGACATTATAAAAGCTATAAGAGGTTAATTTTTTGAAATGTAAACGAAAATAACATTCAAGCTCACACAAGTTTTAATAAAGGTTACTATATTAAAAAATAAGGATACTATGTTAAAATTACGGTCATTATGTTCCAAATAACGTTAGTTCTGCGTTTATATAAATCTCAGGTCCACAATAATATTATTGTGGACCAGGTCCACGCAAGAATTTAATAAATTATACTTACCCGCGATGTTTCAAGTTACTCTATCTATTATGAGATTTCCTTCATTTATTTTCTCCCCTTAACTCATCAACGTTACATTCATTTATTTTAATTTAAAATTATTGCAACCTATTATTGTATAGAGTCTTGTTACAAAGGTGAATATTATGAATCAAGTAAAGATGTGTCCAAATGAAGTGCATACTATAAGAGAAGTTTGTGAGAAATATATTCCCAATGACACATCTGCTATTCAACAGGTACTACAGAAAAAATTAATGTTACAGTGCTTTTTTTTTTATATATATATATATATATATATATATATATATATATATAGATTTTACATTTTAGATACATGTGTCTAATTATCGGTTTACATTCCAATATCTGATTACATCAATGGTCATTGGTTTTTAGTTGTTATTGACATAGTGGAAAAACTATATTTTTTATTGGACTCATCACATACCACTGATGTTCAAATTCAGCTGTCTAACGAAATTGTAGGTTTTCTTCCCACACTTTTTCATCAAAGTCTTTTTTTTCTAATGTCTTCTCAATCATCGTATGAACTTACAAAACATATTTTTGTTTAGATAGTTAAAAAAAAAAAAGCTTATCTCATTTATGCTGAAGATCCAAGGGTAGGTCGATTTTTTGATACCGTGATGAACTTTGACTTGGAAATTCCAATAACCAATAAGCAAGAGCACAGGTAAATAATATATATGCATTTAATCTCATAAATAACTATTCATATAGCACATATATATTGTTTTATTATTATGTAGGATTGAAAGTCCCGTGTATATGATTAAGTATATTGAAGCATCCAATCGCTCGGAATGGAGCAGAATCAAGTTAACGGTATATTATATATTTTTACATGAGAATTATGTTATGGCTGTATTTTGTATGAATGCCCCTTTTTATACAGAGAGATAAAGTTAGACTTGAGCGCCTTAAAATCATGGTCAAAATGGTGAACTCAAAATATAATTATGCTGTTCTTGTTGGAAAGAGCGGAGAACCTGAT